AAAATGATATTGATGTTTTCATTATACTAATTTTTCCATTCACAATAACAATTTGATTTTAGAATGTTTGATGTGTGAAGTTCTAGTCAGACAGATCTTAACTGGTTTAATGTTTGCAGATATTAACATTTAATTTTTATTTATTTATTTTAATTATCATTTTTTTTTTCGTTATTGAGCATGATTGCTTTACTTTTAACCCTGGATTGCTATTTCACCAAAGATTGGGGAATAACAGCCCAAGGCTTTTTTAGCATTGAAATAAGCCCTTTGCATTATTTTTGTTGAGATCGGTACTAAATACCATGCATTGGGATTCTGCTTAGCTTAATTGTCTTTGTATGATTTTAGCTTTCATGAAATCTTTACATTAGCAAAGGTATTACATAAACATATGTCTTTGCATTAGCATATAGATTAAACAATCTTCATTTGCCAGGTCTTAGCATTTCTAACATGCTGCCGAGGGATACAGGATGCAGTGTTGATATTTTGTAATCCTTGAAATTCTGCCTGTTCATGAATGCTACATTAGTTACTGGAGTCTGAAATCAGGCTTCATGTTTAGAAGCTACTTACACATATGCATTTTTTTTTTCAAAAAGAGACAAAATGTAATTCACAAACAAGTTTGTTCAGCGTGTATTACAAAGAGCATAATATTTATTAAATGTAATAATTATATAAATGCACAAGGAAAACAGTAATTAATTTAACATTTGATAATATGATAGTTTAGATTGGAAAGAGGGTGAGAAAAATTGTGATTGTGCTAAAGAAAAAATAAAAGAATATATATATATCCAAATATATATATCCAAATAAATACAAATGTCACAGGTTTTCTGTCTGTTTTGTAGACAGTGATGGTGTGCCTGTGAAGAAAATGGAAGAAATCTCCAAGCAGTCAGTCAACAAAGTGTTCAGTGGCGCCACTGGAGGGCCAGCTGAGAGCCTGAGGTAGAATTCAATAGTAGAGATTTCTTCAGTGGGTTGAATGAAAAAATTTAAAATTTAAAAGTTTGGCAGTTTAAATATATCCCACATATACCCACTGTATATTTTTACTTACTGATTGATTCACACCATTATGTTGTTTGATAAGTAAAAAAAAACATTACTATTATATATTATTATAGTTTTAATGGAATCCTAAATTTCTGCAATAAATTTTTTGTTATCATAGAGAATGGCTGCCCATCAGCTGTAATCTGAATTGATTCCTACAAGTGTTAAACACAGGAAAAATTTACTTAGAAGCTTTTACCCTCTTCCTGGTTTAAGGTTTATTGATAAATTTCACTAATATTTAAATATGTTCTACAGAAGGCATTCTGCATATGGCAGTGTGATTTAATGCTGTAACCTATTTTAGGAAATCATTCAAGTCTGTGGTGGATGTAGTCAGCAAGGTTGCTCAAGCAGTGGAGAATGGAGAATATGATTTTGATGGTACTTCAGACACAAAGGTAAGAAGTAGAGGTTATATTATAATTTATCATTGATTTATTGTATATATCTTTATTATTTTAGAGCAAAACTAGTTTTTTTGGGGGGCCTAAGACATGTTTTTAATCACATATGTACATTTTTTCACACACAAAGTATGTACATTTTCTGTAAAATTGAATGAATATAGTGTTATATACAGGTGTATATAAAAGCACAGTGTATATAAAAGTATATAAAAAAAATATCATCTTAAACTTTCAGCCAATGCCCCCAGTTATGACAAGGGCCAATCAGGTGAAGGGGGAAATATCTGACACTGAGAATTTGAAGTATAAGATAGAGGCCAAAGATGAAGACATCAAGGAATTGAAGAAACAGCTCAAACTCAAGGTTGATTTTACCAAATTTGCTTACACAGGCCAGAAATGTTATCATTTAAAGAATTTATGAAATTTAAATATACAAAGATTTTATATTCTTTTTATGATTTTTCAAAAAAATAGCTCTTCATAATAGAATCTTCCTTGTTTTTCCTATACATTACTAGAAAAAATTTCTATACACAGATTTTTCTGTTAACAAACTCACAGCACTCCTTATTAAAATGAACAGTTTTTTGTTGTTAATTTAGGTAAAAATCCCCCAAGCACTATATCTTTACAAATATTAGACATTTGTGCCTGTTCCACAAAAAATCTGATATGTTTGTTCTGTACATAGTATGAATGGATTAATTTGTAGCAAGATGAGTTGAGTCAGCAACAGATCCGTTATGGCATGATGGACAAGAAACTGGAGAATGCCTCCAAGGATGGGAATGAGAAGATAGAAAAATTGCAGAGGAAGCTGGATGATGCAAATGCTCAGTTGAAGAAGAAAGAAAAGTAGGTTTTTAATAATAGCCTTAAAATGAATAATTTAAACTTTTATGTATGTTCTTAGATTCTATAGATTATTCTTTTAACTTTGTAAATACATTGAATACTTCTGGCTATAAAAATGAGATTTTAAGGAAGATATTAATGCACTAGACTAATAAACACATACAAAAAAATGAAATTTCATTTCACATATCATGTCTCCATTTTATTTCAAATTTCATGTCAAAGTTAGTGTTCAGTTCCAATGTCAACTTTATTTTAATTCAGGGAGTTTGAGGAAACCATGGATGCCCTTCAGGCTGACATTGATGCATTGGAGAATGAGAAGGCTGAATTAAAGGAGAGGCTGAGGGTCCTGTCCAAAAAGACACTTTTAGAGGGGCTAGCCAAACAGTCTGGAGTGGCTGCTCTGGTCACACAGGGGTCACCAGGTAGGTGGTGTTTTGACCACTGTTATTAGGATTTTTAGAGTTAAGATAATGTATTATAGTGAAGAGGATGTATAAAACTAACATAATTATGCTAACTCTAATTATTTACTTGGTTATCTTCTATAAAATAATTTGTTACCAATACTATTTTTATAATTTTAAGAACTTCTACGAAAAGTACAAGGTGCAACAGGTACTGTACACAGCTTTAACACCTTTTTTTGCTGTCTAGCCACATAATTGCTTGCAGGTTTAATGTTATGTGACCAACAGATTTTTGAACTTATAGTCTTATAAGATATAATTTGACAAGATACAAGGCACAATGGCCTGTGGATTAGCCTTAAATAGCATATTTATGAAAAAGGAAGAGATGTTTGAAATAAACTAAAGGAGAGTAGAGCAATACTGTCCCAAGGAGAATGACTGTCACTACAGATAAAATGAATTGATGTTTCCAAAGTGACGTTCAAGTTTCAGCATTTTTATCTTTCCTAACTTAAATCATAACTCCCATCATACCATGTATCCCACTTTATCTCAACATTTTGCCTGCATAGCAGCTTTTGGCTTAAAAGCTTCCAGAACAAAATCATCCCAACCATTCTGTATTCTTATATTTTTTTATCCTCAAGTTATTCTTCACATTGTATTTCATGTTTTAAAGAATGGGTTTGATGGAACCACTATAAGTTCCAAAGCACTGATATGTTCAGCATTATCATTTCACCTCAGGTGGCATTTGCTGTCAAAGCAATCTCTTTTATAACTTTGAAATGTGAGATGGTATAAATATGTTTTAGTTATATGGCAAAGCAGGTGCTGGCTTCTGTCCCGTTTTTATACCTCTCAGTTGGTATGGTATTTTCCTTTGTTGGCTTATGATGGGTTGAAAAAAAGGGCTTTACACAACCTTACAGCTTCCACCTCCACTGGCTTCTTTTCTTACAGAGCTAAAGGGTTGAAGGATATTGTTGCCAGATTATTGTACACTTTCTTTGTATTTTATTCAATATAATATGTGAATTTACAAAATAATTGTATATTTCTTATATGTCATGTACTTATTCAATATTTCTGAATACAACTTTTAAAGCAAGATAAATTATTACAAACAAAAATGAATTCAAAGGCAAATATCACTTTTTGGGTGCTAAACACTAGTGGCGTCACTACTGTAATACACATTACAATGCACCAGGGATGTCAGTGCCTGGTTAATAATCCAGCTTCTCTCATTAACTCCTGAAATCATCAAAATACACGAAAAAATGATACAAATGAGTAAATTATTTGAAATTATCACTCATTCATTTCAGACCCAAAAAAGCAATGTTCACCTTCAAGTTTCGCCATTTGTGCTATGCAGTTGTATTGTGATTATTTAGTACATTGATGCATTTCTTTGAATGAATATTCACATAAAAATAGAACTGCATGCTCTATTGTGGTTTGGTTTGTTTAGTCAATTAAAATATGTTTCAGGATCTACCAGTCCCTCTAGCCCCACTGCAGGCATCCCAGGACCAGCAGTTGTCAGGGATTCTCCTCTTCTGCTGCAAGAGATAGATTCTTTGAAGATGGCCTTGAAGCACCTGAAGAATGAAAATGTCAGACTGAAAGGACAGAAAATGATGGTAAATGTCTTCATATGGTGGTTGTTGAGGCTCTGTGTTTTGCTGACTTTATCAAAACCAAAAACCAGTCAGCCAGGCAATCTCCAAATCTAATGTATATTTTGTGGAAAATATCATGAACAAAATATCACTATCCTCTGTTCAGTAGTGTTGTCATTTATTTGGGTTCATGGTGTTACAAATATTTTCTTCTCTCTCTCTCTTAGGATCAGTTGGCCAGCCTGCCTCCTCTCAGAGTTCCCAAGAAACCTGTTGGCCTGGCCAGTACAACTGGACTCATCAAGATGGGAGAGGCACCAGAGGGCGCTCATGGAATAGAGTCTCTCAACAGACTGAGTAAAAAGACGTCTGCTATGTTACATGTACGTAAATGAAACTGATTGATATAATTATTTACTGGACCACATAAAGTTATATATTGTTATATTTACAATTTGCATATTAATTTTATTTGATTAAATATTCAAATTCAGAACAAAGCCTGCCAAAATATATAGAATATTAAATATTATATCATTTTCTTAAAGGAGCTACAGACTTTGAGTGCTTGTCCTACAGTAGTTGACATTTCCAAAAGAAAACCAGGTACACAAACATATAATTCATAGAAATCTGCACTTTTTAAATGTCTAAGTGATACATTAATAACTATCTTGATAAGATTGACTAAACATCTTGTAAAGGAATATATTTTGCATGACTTCAAAAGTTGATTAAAATTATATGATGATGTTATTCAACTAAGGGTGGTATTTTTAAGAAAATAAGTAATGAAATGATGCACTATAAACATATTACAGGCCAAGAGCCTCTGCTGGACAAGGCTTCTCCTGCTAACCAGCTGCTAGAAAACGCAGCAAGAATGAACCAACTCCAGAGATCTACTCTAGAGGTTGGTAATCATAACTTAGGACAAGAAAAGGGTTTTAAAATGGGTGGATGGCGTTGCAGTGTCTTTATAAACTATATGATTCAAAGCTTCACCTTTGTTGTGGGATTTATATTTGCAGTGAACTTCAGACTTTGTTCCCATTTCCTTAAAACTTGGAATATGATAACAATAACTTTGTGATACCTGACCAGGGTAATACTTTTCAATGCATTTGTCTTCTCCAGCTCCAGGTAGCTGTCACTAACCTAATGGCTGCCAACAGAAATGGAGGCCAGGTCAGGACCGACTTTGCTGCCTTTCCCACTCCATCTTTTGCCAAGGTGAGCTTCACTCAGTTTTCTAGCACAAAGAATTGGAAACACTGAGGGAATATTTGTAACTATAATTTTGATATCACATATTAAACAATGGTCATATGTCAAGGATAAAGCATGTCAAATTAACAGATCCAACTAGATCGACCTAACTCCCTGGGGGTTCACACTAAATAGCTGTCAGCCGAGCGGGCACGAAAGTTAATTACCCCCTTATACCTTGTAGTAGGTGGGACGGACATTTAAGCCGGATTATCTGACAGTAATCTAGTGAGACTCCCCACGGGGATAGATCGATCTGAAATCTATGGGAATGCGCCCTTAGTCTTTATTTGGCAGATTTGTAGTATCACTAATTTTGACATATAAAGAACAATTATATATTTAAATTTTTCTACCTCCTGCTAGATTCAGAATTGTGTCACATATTTTACAGGTGCTTCATGAAAAAACTGAAGATAAAGAGATGATAGGCAGGGTGACACTCCCTACCACTGCAGGCCAAGGAGATACCATACCAATCAGTGTGCTACCAAATCAATTAAGGAAAATTCATGCTAAGTTTGTCAGCTGAAATTGTAGACTTGTTCAGTAGTGATATTGCATGTCGTAGTTAATTTATGTAATTTAACACAGAACAAAGCTTCTGTCATTGTGAACTTTTTTTGCAACAGAAAATTTAAAAAATGGGAGACAGATTTAGCAAAAAAGTTGGTATAATGTCACTGCTCAAAAACAAAACATTATTCAGTGTTTTCATAAAAAAATATCTTAAAGTAGTCCTATAAGTTGTATCAGACTTTATTCCTATGTGTTTTTTGGATTTACAAATCGATATAGAAAGTTAAATGTCATTACCATTAAATGTTCAGCTTCAGCTTTTATTACGAAACAAATATGTGAAATGTGTTGCAGTCTTAAAATATTGCATACTATTGTGTAGTATGATTGGTAGGGCTGTAAAGAGCATGCAGATATAGATGATGGCGGAATTATATTAACATGATGGTAAAAAGATCTGATACCAATGTACATGCATGCGGACTTACAGCTACCCAGTGTCTAAACAATCCAGATCTTAATAATTAATAACCAAATTATCTACATTGTTTGTATCTGGGCTATTTCTGGTTTTCCAGTCATGGTCATTTGAGATGGCCCAAAAGGAGGTTGTCAACAATGTGTGATGAAAACCATTTTCATGGTAATGGTGAAACTCTGCATTAAATATTTTCTTAGAAACAATAGGAAAGTGACACCCAAAACATAGTTTTTGCAGTTTTGCAATATACCATTTTCAACAGAAGTTCAGGGAAAACTACCATAAACACATTTTGGTTAAATTCTGTCAGCTTTCATGCTGCAATGAACTTTCAAGTCTGTCATTATATCTGACCCAATATGGCATCATTAAAATGGCATTTTCTTTCCAAAAATAAAACTGCTTTCCAACTTATACTCTGAAGTCTTTGTTTTAACTTAGTTTTAGCCAAATCATTTGGATTTTTTTAATGTAAATTTCTGAAAGAAATTCTAAAAGAATAGACAAACAAAACAACATGGTTCTATGTTGTTTTCATACTTTATTTAAGTGTTAAATGTATTCACATAATGTATAATACAAAAGTAAAAAACTAAACTTGGGCACATCAATGGTTTCAGAAAAGCAAAAAGGATAATGGCATAAATAAGTAACTAAAACATTAATGCATTAATGTAGCATCCTACCTTTATTGAAAGTAACAGTATGTGTAGCAAGTTGTGGTTATTACATGCAGTCCATTTCCAAGAAATGGTTGTGATTACCATACAATCACATACATTCACAAAAGAAGTGTAAATCCTGCTAAAAATGGATAACAGATTTGTAAACTACCAGGAACTAATCTGCTCAGAATACTTTACACCAATGCCAGCCACATTGGTTACATGCATGAGCATTTAGAAATTTTATGACTCTTGTAGTTCTATTTCCACACCTCACTGAAAATTAAGCAATTTCACATAGCCTGGATAAGAGTAACATCAATCTCTACAAAAATTTGTGTTTGGGCATTTTTTTTCTAATCAAAATTTTTAATGCACATTAAAATTGTACTTTAAATCCTTCAGTGTTGCAATAAGATGTCAGTGATATATGATTTACACATTTGAATGCATTTCAAAAATTATTTATGGTGATAAAATCATACATCTTCTGTCATTATGTGGGTGGGTTATTCTTGGTGTTCAGCAAAATAGATCAAGGTTAACATGCAGAAATCATAAAAATGGAAAGAAGTGAATCTAGAATTGAGGACTATTGAAGTGCAAAACAAGGTACCAATTGATAAGATAGTTTACAATGGACTTGTAGAGGTCATGGCAACAAGACTAACATGGTGCATTACCATTACTTTCTAGGTGTTTAATCAACAATCTTGGTTTTCAGTTTCTAAATACCTACAATCAAATATTTTACCTGGGAACCTGTGAGCAGTTATTTAAATCATCATGGTTTAAATCATCAAATTTATCTTTTGTAATTGCTCTGCTGTTCCCTACTATAATGACTTGCATGTCGATTGGAACTGTTACTACTATATGGTTGCCAGCGCTTACTGCCTCCATAATTTTTATTGTAAGTGCGATTGTAATTTTGACTGAAATGCACTGTATGCTGCATGTTGTTTCCGGTTTGCTGTGATGCCACCTCCATCAAGGCTGGAATCTGATGCACACTGTTCTGCTGTGGCTGCCATGTTTGGGTTCTTCTCCTCCCACCATCATGTGACCTGTTGTAGGTGTCACTCCTGCTTCTTTGGTGGCGATTATCTGCATATCTCTTGCTATTGGAGCCAGAGTCAGAGGCATCCTTGTGGGACTCATTTTGTCTCTGGGAATTCTTTTTCTCTGCTGCTGCCTCAAGTTTCAACTTCTGCACCCGTCCAGGCAGTTCCACACCCCATGCTTCTGAAATGTGGGTGAGAAGTAGGTTTGTAATACGTCTGTGAGCCGTCATGTCCCAGTGCACACCATCTTTGGCTCGACGATGGATCTGACGGCGAAAATAGTAGTGTAAATCTAGGACATCAAAGCCATAATGACCTGCCACTTGCCTAGCATAGTAATTGGCCTCCATGATATCAAGACGTAGGGTGTCATTCATGAATTCGACCTCTGGGATAAGGAAACCACCACGAGCATTGTTGGCTATTGGCAATGCTGTGTTCCAAATTACCAGAGCATCATCAGGCAGTATTTTCTTAAATTTGTGGAACAACTCAATAAGATTTTCCTTATACTTGGGCACAGAAGATGGACCATATCTAAAAAAGATGTAACGAAAGAGGAATGTGTATTATTTATGACAATGAGATTTTGTATGCTGCAAAGCAAGACATTTTTAATTTGGACCTGCTTTTTTGTTCCCATACAAGCTCTTGTAATCTTCTGCTACTCTTTGACCTTTGTTAAAAGCATTGCTTTTAATGGTTACCAACAGTTTTGGTTTAAAAGATCAAGATATCAATGCATACACATTCTGACATTTAAACTTAAGCCATATTCACAAGCCAATCATTTTACATGTACAAACTCCACTCCCTCTAATATATAGCCTGTGATGATATGACTAAATGTAATATTCAATTCCATGCAGCTTTTTAAGAAATCAGCAGTTTATTAAATAATAATTTTATTGTGACCAAACAGAAGAGGATTCAGCAGATTAATCACCTGGTAACATCCCAGAGGCAGGAGTTCATAATGACCACATCAGGCTGGGGTTCCTCTGCAAGATCTCTGAGAATACTTTCAACATAATCATTGTAGCAACGGGTGGTGAAGTAGAATCTAACCAGAAAGTAGTCTGTTTGGTATTGGCGAACTTCTTTATAGTTTGTCTTGTTATTCATCACTGCTTTTTGTCCACCTTCAATCAGTTTGTCATCAACATGACTAAATTCACCCTAAGAAAAAAATTCAACAAATTTAGATTATATTACTGTGTAAGATGATTTATGGAAACTACCATCAGCCACATGATCAGGTCACTTATACTTACTATAAACATAGCTAAGAATCACCTCACAACATGTAGAGATGCCAGTGCCTATTTAATCATTTAAGAATTCCACTTTCACCGAGTATCAAAATATCCAATAACATTTATTTTACATATTTACTTTATAATAAAGGTCTGAGAATGAAAATGAAAACTAGAAAGACATGAGCTGGAGATGTGTTTGAAGTATGGGGACAGAGGCCATACAAGGTAGGAATTTTTACTTTTTTTCTCAGCTGCCATTCCTGAAGGTATCTTGGGTCTTGTAGCAACAAAACCAAATCTTTATATATAGCTCTTTGGACTGAAATAGAAACACTGAATATAAAAGCTTGATTTAACACAAATACTGAGGTAGGAAATTTTATCATACATTACTCACATGTACATTTTTTATTTCACTAAGAATCATGTACCATCCATTCTTTAAAATTTTGTCAACTCAAATAAAGAGTTGGCAGACTTCAACTGGATTTTAAACCCACTATTTACGACTTAAAGGAGCTTTAAAGAGGAAATCCTCTTCAATTACTATCACAACAAACATTAGTCTGCAATCCAGGAGACTGGCTTCAATTAATCACTCTTCTAGTCTGCGATGTGCCAAACTTGTTATTGGATCATCTCTGTAAGCTTTGAAGTGACCGTCCAAACTGCACAAGTGTACAAACGACCAAATGCTACATTTCTGTTATTGCTAAGTCGACTCATAAACTACAAAGAGCTGCAATGACTGACGGTTTATCACGATTACCAGAGTCTCCGATGATCACAACAAACTTGTTAGAAAGCAGATGCTGGACATCTTCAGTCAAGAAAATTTCACATACAGTGGCCATGTCAACCTAAAAAAAGCAGATGATCTTTTTTAAGTAATTAAATGACATATTCGCCGTTGATTCTTCTCAACTCTCCATTCAACTTCAAACAATCACAAGTTTAAAAAGAAATAAACGAGGAGAGCACAGAGGCTCGAAGATGAACAGTTGCGCAAATACAGATAAAATTCCTTTTTGTGTGTGTGATCTATTTATCGGACATTGCTGACTTCTCTTTAACTATACAAAATTAGATCTTATCAACCCACAGTCATAGAAAGCGAGAAAAAAACGAAGTATTTATGCGCCACGTGCACGTACCCGCCAAGACGATTCAAAAGTTTTGCAAAGGTTTTGCTGGCTGCACTGTAGTAAATCTAGATACCTTGCATCCTTACCGAAAATGATCCAGTTAGAGTGTTCTTGTTGATCTGTAAATTATTGTTTTACGCCTCCACTTTAAACAAGTTGTTAGTCGTGATATGCAACTCCCTTCATCAGGGCTTCATGAGCTGTCAGTGTCAACAATATTCAAAGATGGACGGGATCACTTTGGACAGAGGTAGTAACATTCTTTTTCATCAAATGTACGGACGTGTTTTCATAAATAAATTAAGCATTTACATTTAAAAAAAGAATCCTGGAAAGAAAGTAGACAATAGATTAAATCAAACTGATTGACCAACTAAATACTCAAAAAGAAAACTGTCAAAATAATGGAGCTTGAATCAACCATATCTTGTTGGACTCGTCCATGATTCGAAGAGAGGGGCTGATGTTCAAAGTGCTTGACAAGACGAGGTTGCAAGGAAAGAAAGCTCTAGGACTCTCCAGGTAAACGGGATTTATGTTTTCATGTATTTCGTTTATTGTTAAACATGTCAGAGTTACATTAAACAAGACAACAGTTGGTTTCGAAAGTATTGGGTTTTTTCAAGAGGTAAATCGGAGTCCTTTACGTGTCATGTGTGGGTACTTCATTTTCCAAGCCTAATGAGTGCGTTTCCTATCTCTCGCAGTTGCTATTTTATTCCTCTTCTTTGGCTTTTATATGATTTCAGTGTTTAACTTAAAGTTGAGGGACTTCATATTCCATATCTTTAATGGTGCTAAAATCTTTTCGGCGATGCTCATTTAGCTCGGCTGGTTTAGTTTAAAGTCTTCTCTGAAGTTTAAAATTTGTCGGTTTTGCCATTTCTAAAAACACCCAGACACGTGTAACAGTAAGTGCGTGCCCGTTGCGCCATCAAGAGAGCCCCCCCCCCCCCCCCCCCGGAAGTCAGTTGCCATTACTTGTTGTCTCTCTTTCTCCCCATTTCCCATTTTTCATCCAGGACTCGTTATCTAAAAGAAAAATATGCTAAATTATTTTTTTAAGTTAAAGGATTACTAAACGCATTTGTTTGAAATTTTACTATTTAGTCATATATCCTAGCTATGTGTACATATCCTTCAAAGCTACTAATTATTCCCTGTTTAGACCTAATAAGCTATAAACTCTTCACATAAGTACATGACATGAATAATTCCCACTGAAATTTACAGGAAACCATGGTGTTCTAAGTGAATGACAGGTCATTTGGAATCATGTAACATTTAAGATGGAATAAAACATCTAATCCAATAGTGCAGGGATGGGTCTCACAATGATTTGTGACAAGGAGAATTTTTTTTTCTCCAAAGTAATTTTTTTTTATTTGCATGTCCCTGTAGAGAGTACCTTAGAAAGCCTTGTTATAACAAAAGTTGCACATGCAGGGGTAGGGGTATTTTGTTTTTCTTATTTATTGCCATCATTTTAAATGAGAAGATATCCATTCAGAATACGACCTTGGATCTTAGTTAAGTGAAGTGAGAATGTACTTTTTTTTTTTACTACCAATGCTCAAGTGCACTGATTTGGTTCTACAGGATTGAATTTTGATGCTAAGGGAATTCCCCATTTAGAAAGTATGTCACTCCACAGATTAAGAACTAAACACGCTGACTCAGCAATATTTTGTTGGCACATGCTTTAAGTTATTAACCGAGTATTGTAAAAATAAGATTGAGAAGAATCATAGGGGCAAATGTGAAATTACTAGGTAATTTGAATGAATATATATATTGTTAATATATTTGTGTTATAATGCAGAATGCATCCAATGGAATGTTCATTTGTGTACGGTGCTTTCGGTATCAGGACAATCCCCCCCTGACTATTCCCCCTGGACAATTCCCCCCC